CACAAGCAGGGTCCCTGCCCCCCTGGGCTCCCCCACCCCTTCTGACAGCTGCCCCCTCCCTCCACCTCACCCGCAGGTGGTGGCCTTTGCCTCTCTCTTCTTCATCCTGGTCTCCATCACCACCTTCTGCCTGGAGACCCACGAGGCCTTCAACATCGACCGCAACGTGACGGAGATCCTCCGCGTGGGGAACACCACCAGCGTGCGCTTCCGGCGGGAGGTGGAGACGGAGCCCATCCTGACCTACATCGAGGGCGTGTGCGTGCTGTGGTTCACCCTGGAGTTCCTGGTGCGCATCGTGTGCTGCCCGGAAGCGCGCCAGCACCAACGAGTTCCTGCTGCTCATCATCTTCCTGGCGCTGGGCGTGCTCATCTTCGCCACCATGATCTACTACGCCGAGCGCATTGGCGCCCGGCCCTCCGACCCGCGGGGCAACGACCACACCGACTTCAAGAACATCCCCATCGGCTTCTGGTGGGCCGTGGTCACCATGACGACGCTGGGCTACGGGGACATGTACCCCAAGACGTGGTCGGGCATGCTGGTGGGGGCGCTGTGTGCGCTGGCCGGGGTGCTGACCATCGCCATGCCCGTGCCCGTCATCGTCAACAACTTCGGCATGTACTACTCCCTGGCCATGGCCAAGCAGAAGCTGCCCAAGAAGCGGAAGAAGCACGTGCCGCGTCCGCCCCAGCTCGAGTCCCCCGTCTACTGCAAGTCCGAGGAGACCTCGCCCCGGGACAGCACCTACAGCGACGCCAGCCCCGCGGCCCAGGAGGGGGGTCTGGTCGAGAGGAAGCGGGCAGGTGAGGTTGGCGCTGGGGAGGGAAGGCCCCGCTCCCGCAGTGGCCCGGGGAGTCTGCACTGTGCTGACCGCTCTGGGCTCCCCCAGGTGTAACCTGTGCCCTGTGAGGGCCAAGTAGAGGCCGAACCTTTGTATCCTTTGACTCTCTGATAGCTTCCTGACGGCGGGCCTGGGGGGTGAGGGTCCTGCAGCACTTGGGCTGCAGGGGGCGGTACCTGGGCTGTAGGTTAGCAGCCTCGGTCCCTAATCTCGCGGTGCCCGCTCTGCTGTGTGCTCTGAGGCCAGTCACTCACCCCCTGTGGGCGTAGATTCCGCACCTGTAAAGCGGGAACGATATTCATAGCCTACCCCCAGACTTAGATGGGACCCAAACAAGTGACGAAAGTCTTTAAAGATCTTTACAACCATCAGGCACCGTGGTTAGCTGGAGAGCAGGGCAGCTGTTCTCCCCAGGTGCGTCCACAGTGAATCCCTTCTCCCCAACCTCCCAGTCTGCTGTCTCTGGCTAATAAGTGCGATCACGTAACAGCAGTGGGGGGCTGCCTGCTGCTCAGCACAAGCTAGGTTGAGTCCTGGGCTTGGGGTTGGACATGGGATGTGGGGAGAGGGAGCCCAGAGGCAGTGGCCGGCCATTGCTGGGAAAGGCTGCAGCAGCTGGTGTCCGAGTCCTGGAATGGGGGCCTGAAGGCTGAACCTCGGGCTTCAAGGATGGGAGGGGCCCCCAGGAAAGCCCGCCCCCACTGAGTCAGGACATGGGAGAGGAGATTGGCTGCCTTGGCACTGGAGTCAGGTCGGGACTGGAACCTCGCTGTTGGGAATGGGGTGGTCTCCTAAGGAAGCTGGAGTTCCTGGTGTGGGGACCGCTGGGGGGAGGCCATCGGGGAGCTGGGGGAGGCCATCGGGGAGCTGGGGGGAGGCCAGGACACTAAGGTAGTAGCTCCTGGCTAGGCTTGTGGGCAATGTGGGACTCATCCCCCAGGGCAGGTGCCTGATTTGGGACATGCACCTGTGGCCCGTTGGAGGTGCCCATCACACATGCTGAAACCACTCATAGCCTGGGGCCCTCCAGGCACCTGGGTCTTCCATAGACCTTGATGGAACAGCACCCACTGGGCTCCCCTCCTCCCCCCGCAAAGTGGTACCCTACCCCGCCCTTGAGTATCAACCTCCAGCCTGTGCTCCAGGGAACCGGAGCTGTACCCCAGGCCCTTTCAGCGCTCAGAGGGAACCAGACACCGCAGTGTGCACGTCCGTCGGCCAGCCGCCCGGCACACGATGCCCGTCGGCCAGGCCTTAGCCTGGCCCTCACTGCGTGGCCACAGTCAGGGCTTCACTGGCTATGCCAGGGCCACCGCCTTCAGACCCAGCGGCCCCCCTTTTGCGGATCCAGGGCCCAGCTTCACCCGGGCTGCGGCCTGGCCGGGCAGGAGCCGGGTAGGAGCCGGGTGAAGAGCCCACAGCCGTGGGAGCTGAATTGGAGCCTCTTGCCCCACCAGGGTCCCCAGACACAGGGGAGCCCCGAGCGCAGGGAGCTCCAAATCCTTCAGGCACTCGACTCCAGCTTGGACGCCTGGTGAACAAGAGTAACCGCCTTCGGGTGGTCGGGGCGGACCGCTGGGAGCGCCACTCTCCTGGCGTAGCCCTGGCAGTGCCACCTGCACCCGACAGGCCAGGCGGTCTCCCAGGGGATCCAAGCCCATCAGGTGGAGCCTGAGCCAGACCCAAGGAGGAAGCAGCCCGCCGCCTGAGGGGGGGCAATCTCGCGGGGCAGCAGACTCGGGGAGTCCTTGCTTAGGGCATCTGTGGCCCATCTCCCAGGAAAGACGCTAGGCCAGGCTGGGGAGGAAGCCAGCACCTGCCCCCTGCCCCCTGCCCCCAGGACAGGCCCACTCCCTGGCCCCTCCCCAGGTTGGAGGAGTGACCCCAGGTGACCCAGGGGGGAAGGCCAGGCAGCACCAAGCACGTCCTGTCTGTCTGACCCCCTAGATTCCAAGCAGAACGGAGACGCCAACGCCATGCTGTCGGATGAGGAGGGGGCGGGCCTCACCCAGCCCCTGGCCTCCGCCC